ACTTTCTGACATGATTTAGATAGACAAGGCTGAAATGTATCAGCAAATACAAGTGCTCTATGCATTTGTCATTGCACAGAGTGTATTTGTCAGTCGAGTTCTGATGAATCACAGCAGAATCATACCCCTCAAACCAACTATTTAGTGTGTACAGGAGTTCAGCCATGGGTGTAAGATGCAACTCTCAGGGCTAGTACACCAGCAAGCTAAATTTGCATGCAATCCAAGTTCGTCACACATCAGGTTCTTTTCCCAGCTGAGCTCATCAACAGCCAAACAAAGGAGCACCCGTGTCCTCAGTGTTTCATTTGAGACTCAGCTCAAGAATCTGACAGGCAAAATGTAGATGTATGCACCAGACAGTGAAATGTAAAAATGTAAATGTAAAGATTCAGTAAGTCAGCTTTATAGCTGACTTCTCAGCATTCTTTAGGAAGCTATCCTGAGCTAGATGTATTTTAATGTTTCTCCCCTGTTACTGCATGATTTTCTTCTCTTAATGCCCTCTGCAAACTTCCAATTATGTAGTACCACTTTTTCCAAACAAGCAAACAAAACAATCTTCCACCTATACTTATACTAAAGTTATAAACAAGGTCACCAAAACTAGGTATAACTGCTCTTTTTAAGATGGTGGTAAGAAGCAGGTAATTGGCTTTAGGAAATTAATTATCTGAAAGAAAAGATTCTTCTAAGACATAAATACACTAAAGAAACATCTCAGAGTCTGAATTAAGCAGACAGGGATGATTCGTAAGTCTCATTAAGAGAAGCATCACAGAAATAAGCAGCAGACAGCCATAAAAGACAAACTGTTAAATTGTCTCTCCCAGCACAGGGCTCTGTATGCATTACTGCTATTCATGTTTTATAACTGCTCGAGTTAATGGATAAATCAATTATCTAATTGTCGGCACAGATCCTTACAGGTTTCATCTGCTGGATTTGTTTGCTCAAGTGACGTTAAACTCACTGGCATAAGCTGGCAGCCTCATCACCACAAAAATTGAAGAAGACAATGCAGAATACAGTGATTTTGTAATTTGGGGATGCAAAAATACATTTAGGCTGGTATTTCTCTTTTTAAGTATTGACTGTTTTCATTTTCAAGCTATGCTGACAGATAGTGTCCAGAATCAGACCTGAGATGTTAATCATCACCAAAATACCACCAGGCTCACTGTTGTTTTCTTCTCCAAATGCCAGTGACAAATGCTTAAAACCACACTGAATAACACATGCAGTGGGAATAGGCAAAAGATGCCGTTTGGGTTCACAGAGCAGTACATAGTCCATCTCACCAGTTAAGCACCATAACCCATGTGGAAAACAGGCAATAAAACAGAAGCTGTACAGCTCAGTACCTCTGACAACCATCTTTGAAATGCTGCTTTCCCTGAAGGTATCAGGTAAACTTATAGAGTGCAGCCAAATATGGGGTTGTTGATCTATTTTCTCCCACTAGCCTGCATGTGGATTAAATCCCAGAAGCACACTGTAAAAAGCAAAAAGAACTAGAGCAATGTTTGAAATCCAGCACTCCTGAGATCTGCCTGCCTACTTAATAATACTGTACTTCCTGCAACATGCGAAGTTTCTAACTGCCTGCAAATATTTCAATGTCTTGGATATGGTTTTAGTTCCTTAACAACACATGAGGATTTCTTGAAATAGATATTAGCATCTGCGTTAAATTGTGGCATTGTGAACCTAATAATCAGTTGAATTCAGAAGAGCTCATTTCTGTTTCCAGAAAGGATTTTTTGTGATCTAGGTTTTATACAATTAGCTGATGAGCTAATGACTTTGAAACATCCTTTTTTACAGTAGAGGAGAAAAAGCAAAGGCAAATGTAGCAGTAAGTACAGGTTATGTTTACACAACCTGCTGACCCAGAAGGCTAAGCAGGTGATAGCTGATGTCCTGTTTGACTACAGTCAAGCCCAAAGCCTGACCAGGAAGGTCTCCCCCTCCACTCCATTTCCAGAAGTCAAACCCCAAAATGAGACCTGGACACTTCTGTCTCTCAAAAGAGGCTGGAGACCAAAAACAGGGACATTCCCTTGCTGTTTCTGAGGGACAGCATCAAGCAGCCCTTCACAGCTCAGACTTGTGCTTGGCAGGAGTAGGGACGAAGTGAAAGCAAGCCCCTGCATGAGGCTCTACCTAAGAAATAGCCACTGCAAGTTGGAGATCCCTCACTTCCTCTGCGGAACCACTCACCCTGGGTTTACAGACATTTACGGGCCTGGGAAAGTAACCCTTGGCCCTGAGGCTTGTTGGAGATTTCAACATGCTCTAATCAAAAGTTTTAATTTCAACGAGAAACAAGTTCAAGTGCAAATCCAGACTCTGACACAGGTTTTATAGAAAATGTTAATGAAGGCATGCTTTTAAAACCTAACTAGCTCTTTAAAAGATCTGGGTTGAAAAATTAAAGCTCCTAAAACATTCTATTTAAAAGCAGGCATAATAAGAATAAGTTTTCTGCCAAACTGAGATCTTGTAGCCTTCTCTTCCTTTCATCTATTCCTTATTACCTTGCTTGTTGCTCTATTAGACATATCACAGTCACACAGATGTGGCACTAATCACAGGGTAGGAGTTGCCAGCTGCCTGGGAGGATAAAGCTACTCTGACATTATCCCATCAGGCACCCAACAGTGACTTAGGAGATACATCCACATAGCTGACCCCTTTGTAAAGAAACAGGTGCCCTCTGAGCATGCTGGGAAATCCTCTCTAATGCAGTCATCTCCCCCACAACGGTTCATGGCTTAAAGTTAAAAAATAAATAGCAACCCCCCTCACTCTGAACACTGAGGTTAGGTGGAAAATGCTGAGGCTTTCAGTGGGAGCCTGGCTTGCTGAACATAATTATGGCTTAGCATGTTACCCTAGTAAAAAGTATATCTGTGTTGAAAACTAATGATTCTGGGGAGGCATCAATTGCAGTTTAAGTTTTGGACTTGATTGTAGTCTATAGATACACACTGGAAGCTGCTTCTGTCCCAAAGCTTGAGTACATGTAGAGAAACACCAAAATTCTTCCCTTGAAAATATTTCCAATTGTGGAGGAAGCCTGAGGGGTAAACTTTTGACCAATTAAAAAAAAACCAACCCAAAACCACAACCAAAACCAAAACCAAACCAAAACAAAGACAATGGCTTTGGTAAGCTTTTGAGAACTTGAGATGGACATTCAGGTATGCTGTATAGTCAAAATTATCACAGCTTTCTAGTGTTTTGTTGTTGCTGTTGTTTTCTTGAAGAACTCATCTGGCTGCTCTTGTAAGCTCTTGTAAGCTCTTCTGCTTACAGAACACCAATGGCACAAAGTTATTTTGATATCCAAAGCATTAATATTTGCACTGCATTGACCTAGTAGAGAGAAAAGCACAGTAAAGATATCTAGGCACTGACAGATATATGATACTTTTCCACTGGAAGGCACACGTGAGAGAATGACATGAATCAAGGCAGGGAAGGAAGAATAGGGACAATCAGCAGGACACAAATACACTGAGGATGCTGTGAAGTTCCTCTGGTCCCATGTACTAAAGAGGTGTTAGCCACACAGCATGTCCAGTCCCCATCCTAGAGCTATAAAACCCCAAAGAGGTCCCAGGGGAGCTGCCCTGCCTCAGCCCCTCACCCCTTTTGAGCCATGGGGATGACAGAGAACAACGAGCCACACCAAAACCAGGCACAAGAAACCTCTTTCCTGACCTTTGTGCTACACCAGCAAAAAAAGGTGACCTGCACCCTAGCCCCAGGTGTGGCTGCTGAATGTGTAGCCATGCTATCGGTCAGCTCTGGCTGGGTACCATGGTTCCACAGCAGCACACCAGCTGCACTGCCTTGGTCCTTATGCCCCGCGCTTAGCACAGGAAAACCATCTCCTTCCTCCTCCACCCTCATCACCCCACGCTCCTCCTTTCACTGCCCGTCATTTCCAGCCCAAGCTGGAGCAGAGCATGACTGCGTGAGTTGCACCTGCAGAAGTGCCAGGATGACCATAAATCTCCACCCTGCCCGAATAAGCACAGCCCCTGTTCTTATTTGGGCAGCTTCCGTACCCCCTCCTCTCTTCCATGGCTAATGGAAGTGTGGAGGTGAACATGGCCAGGAGCAATGCAAGACACAAGCAGGGAAGAGCTGCCATCAGGTGGTCACCCCCTGCCTAGGCTGGAGAGACGTGGAGATGTCAGGGCACCAGCGGCTCTCCATGTGCCAAAGCCAGGCACAGGTGGCGTTTTAGCAGACTGCTTCATGGGAAACTTTGCAGACAGGGATCTTCACCATCTTCAGGATTACATGGAAGCTGAGAAAGAAGCAGAAAGATTACCTAACAGTAACATTTAGGAGCCAAAATAACACAAATGTGCATGCAGTCCTGCGGTAGAATTATCACTGTACACCAGTAGTAACTTCTAGAAATATGACCAAATGAGGATCCCACCACATTCAAACAAGCCTGGGTGTCATGGTGAATGCTGCAGCACTTAGCAAGGGTTGCAGCTTCAAATCCTAGCTCAAGACCTCTACTTGTGTTTTCCTGTGTCTCAGTCTCTCAATGCACAGACCCCTGCAATGCCAGTGACAGTGCATGCAGGCATTGCATGGGTCTCCTGGAGGCATGCAAGAAATTCGAAGAATGAAGTCTAAACTTTATCTTCCTCCTGTGATTCTCATTTCACGGGCTTAACTACACCACAAGCCTCCTTTGCACCCTTAAATATTAACACAGCTATTCTCTTGATGTGGGATTCCTCATTATCATATGAATAAATGATTAATTGTCACTGTACTAAGCAAGTGCAACTTTTATAACTATATGAATCAGCACTGTGCCAAACCCTTCAAGAATAGTAAGAGTGTTCAAGTATTTATTGCACTTTATTGCTTCCTGGATCATTTAAAAGCAGCCACTGACAAACAACCATTTACAGAGGCTTGCAAGTTTGTCTCAGATGTACTGAGCTGTTCTGTATTTCAAAATGCAGGCGTATCTTCTTTCCCGGCAATTTAACACTATGCCTTTGGCAGAAAACTCCACGGCTTGTCCAGCAAATGCTACTATTTGCAATGGTACATCTTGTGTGTTACAAGAAGATAATTTTAATGAAACTCTGAGCGTAATTTTAAGCACTGTTCTAACAATCATGCTGGCTTTGGTGATGTTCTCCATGGGTTGCAATGTGGAACTTAAGAAATTCTGGAGCCACATAAAAAAACCCTGGGGTATTTTTGTGGGTTTCCTTTGCCAGTTTGGAATTATGCCTCTCGCAGCCTTCTTGCTGTCCCTGGCCTTTAACATTCTTCCTGTTCAAGCTGTTGTGGTGCTGATTATGGGATGCTGTCCAGGAGGCACAGCTTCCAATGTCATCGCCTACTGGGTGGATGGAGACATGGACCTCAGGTAAGACCAGCCATTCCCTAAGTAGTTAATCTGGCTTTTTACAATACTTAATATTGAAAAGGACTGCTTGATTTTTTTTTTTCTTAGTTTCCTGGCCCATGTATAGTGGACCTTTCTTCTTGTAAAGGTGTTTAGTTACTGTGATAGTAGTAAATATAAGCAGAATAGCAAATATCCTTGGTTCAATTAGAGTTAATGAGGAAAATACCACAACATAATTGTGTTTATTAGAAAATGTCTTCACTGTAAATCTTCAGATCCTGCCAAAAATAGCATTTGTGAAGATCACTAAGATACCAAAGGTTATGAAATGTTTGTCCAAGTTAGAACTACTTTTGTGATTTTTTGTTTCTTCCAGAATCTTAGGCAGTAAAGATATATATATATATCTATAAAACAAAGGATTTTAGGATCTGAATCCTCTGTACTAAATAATGGCTGTGCAATAGTTCTTGAAGTAATGTTTCTTGAAAAAGACCACCTGTGGACAGATATTTTCCCTCTTTTTGTGGGAAAAGATGAATAGACAGGCATAGATTATCTCTTTGGGAACTAATACAAACGAAAAGCACTTGCAGCCATTCTATCTGCTTCTTGCACCTTCTGCGAAGTCATACCGAGGGAAAGTTTTGCAAGCTAGAAGGCGCTGACTAAGGCAGCCCTGCATATTGGGGCAATGAAAAAACCCCTTGGTGACAAAGTGTGATGGTCTCAATGACAGGGTGCTCTGAGCTCAGAAACAGACAGGTAAGGCACCTGGCATGGCCTAGGACATCAAACACGCACGAGAAGTGAACCCTACTTTTGATGCAGATTCCATGGGGGTTCATTAACAGCCTTTAAAAATGAGCTATCTTTTGATTTTTATATCCTGATTACTTTGCTCAAAAAAAAAAACCAAAACCCAGGATCATTTCTGTTTCCCACAGAGTAACATAAATTGTAGCATTCCTCCAGTTTATCATATGCTAGTATGAACTAGAAATGGAAAAAATAATAGAATTAAGAAAGATGTGGAGCTAGGGCAAATAGACTAAAAATGTTAATATCTGTAGCTTTAATAAGACATTTTTTCCATCCTTTGAAAATACTGAGCTTTTCTGTCACATGCAGGTGTTAATGCAATACCAGCTTTTGAACTATGTATGAGGTCAGCTCTGCTAATCACCAACTTCCTCACTGTGGAGAAAAAACCTATGATATTAGGAGCTGTAAGACACCTAATTTCAATAAATAGAGGTCTAAGAAACCACAGACGGAAAGATATCCAGCACAAGTCTGAAATTGTGCCCTAGTCTTCCTTTAGAAGAACTTACTGAGCTAAACTGTGCTTTCCTAGCTCCGTATGTTCTAAGTCACACCACTGAAACCAGTAGTAAAAGTGAGAATCGATAATAAATATAAATATGAGTAGGCTTTTGTCGTGGTTCAAGCCCAGCCGGCAACTTGGAACCACGCAGCCGCTCGCTCACTCCCCCCCCTTTTCCTTCCTCCCCCCACTCCCGGAGGGATGGGGAGGAGAATCGAAGGAATGTAACTCCCACGGGCTGAGATAACAGCTCTCCAGTAACTAAGGTATAATACAAACCACTACTGCTACCAATAATAATGATAAGAGGAATAACAAGGGAAAAGGACACAACCGCTCACCACCCGCCGACCGATACCCAGCCCGACCCGAGCAGCGATCTGGGCCTTCCGGGTAACTCCCCCCAGTTTCTATACTGGGCATGACGTGCTGTGGTATGGAATAGCCCTTTGGCCAGTTTGGGTCAGGTGTCCTGTCTCTGCTTCCTCCTGGCTTCCCCTCCTCTCTGGCAAAGCATGAGACTGAGAAAGTCCTTGGTCAGAGTAAACATTACTTAGCAACAACTAAAAACATCGGTGTTATCAGCATTGTTCCCAGACTGAAAGTCAAAAACACAGCACTGCACCAGCTACTAAGAAGGAGAAAAAATGACTGCTGTAGCTGAACCCAGGACAGCTTTATATCCCAGGATGCTGGCAGAGGGTGAATTAAATTGAAAATACCTATAAAAGGTTGTTCTTTAGGTAAAGACTTTTACCTTAAGAATTCAACGGCTTTTGGTCAGTACTTTTGCGACAATAATGTAGGGACCAGAGAATATGTGACCTACAGCAGAAATGGCAATACAAGTGTCTTCAGTTCTTGGTAGAAAAATAACAAAATAAGCAGCTTGTCTGGTTTCTGGAGCCAGCACAGTATGACAGAAAGCCCACCTATCAGCAGACAAGGTTTTGGATTTAGCTGATAATATTTTATGTTTATACATAAAAAACCCACTGGCATTGTCTACAGTCCTGCTTCAAAATGTCCCAGTGCAAACAGACCACAAGTTAGAGCAGAAGTTTGTTTTCTACTGTTCATATAATCATCAGGAGGTGAAGGATGAATTTTTATACCTTTCTCAGTAATTCAGACCCAGCTTCCCATAGGGAAATCTGGTTTTGGCATCTCTTGATATTTCACAAAAACAACTGATTCTGAAACTCAATCTTCTCCACAGCTCCCCTGGGAGCTTCTGTGAGGACAAGGACTGGGGTTAGAGAGTGTGCAAACTTTGGAGCAGGATACAGGGGCAGTACAAAGATGTAGGAAATCTGAAGGTAGGAAAAATAATCTCTTTTATCCATTTTATCCAATCCCCTGGGAGCTTCTGTGAGCACAGGGACTCGGGTCAGAGAATGTGCAGACTGGAACAGGGTGTAGGTACAGGGACAGTATGAAGACATAGCAAATCTGGAGGTAGGAAGAAATGAGCTTTTTTACCTGTTTTATCTTAATTGTAGCCAATGTCTCTTTCTGTGTGTATAGAAACTTTCTTGTCTGAGGCTCCTACTAAGTTCTATGCAATGACTCTGAAGCAGAGAGTTAAAGGGACAAAAATTAATGCCAATATTCCTATGGTTTCTGTATTCATTGTTCTAGATTTCTCTGCAGCTGCCCAGTCTGTAGACAGGGTCAGTAATCCCTTTTCTGAGGACCAGCGACATAAAAGAGAAACCAGAAGTCAGGTTTATAAGGAAGTTTCCAAAGTCCCTTAACTAGAACCCCCTTTCATTACTTTTATGTCAGAGGAGTGTGATTTGTAGACATAGTTTTATCTATTCTGCTCAGATTCTGAGAATTTCCTCCTTATTTTAGCTATCTTCCTTTTTCCTCTGTCTTCATTCCTGTCTCCAAATGCATCTGTCAGTACAAGGTGTTTCAGGCCTGATGGCGTCAAGATTTTATATTTTAAAACAGAAATGTCTTTGCACAAACAAAGGAAGCAGCAATACTTATACGTAGCTTCACTGGGTAATTCTCATCACCTACTCTTTGGCCTAGAGCAAAACAAGCCAGAAGAGGGAATTTTATTACAACACACAACCTAGACAGTGATTTTTAATTTTTTTTTATGTTGTTGACTTTGGAGTGAAATTTTAACACTCTAGAAATGCTGGTATAATGGAAAACTCCATTCAATCTGACCCTGTCCAGCTTTCCACCCTCCCAGAAGCTAGCTAGACAGGCAGCATGCAGGCAGACTGGCCAACAGATCTTCCTGATGGCCGCCTGTCTGACTGCCTCATTTGCACTGCAAGTTATTGTCCTGTGGCAGCAGACCATGTTGATATTTTATGTTCCTCTCTCTTCAGCAGAAGCCATTCCTTCCATTTAACCTTTTTCTAACCTCATATACAGGATAAATAGACTGTAGTCAGCAACATTTCTTGCCCAACCTTTCATAAGCTGTGAAGTCATAATAAGAAAATTAGGAAGACTATAGACTAGCATGAGATGAACTGTCAATCTACCCAATTTCTTTGCAGCATCAGCATGACAACTTGCTCCACACTACTTGCAATGGGAATGATGCCACTTTGCCTCTTTATTTACACTAAGATGTGGACTGATACAAATGCAATTGTACTCCCCTATGACAGCATTGGTGAGTCCAGTGAAGCAGCATTTTGCCTTCTAACTCTCTCTTTTATCCTCTAGTAACAACCTTTATACCATCATCCTGCAGAGTCATGAAGAAATGACCCCAGAGTTTGAAAAATATTCATCCTCCTACTTTCTAATAACTTCCATGGGAATTAGGTACCTCAATAACTTCACATCGTCCACAGCTCTGCAGAACATTATAAATATTGTACAGATATTTATCACAAGATTGTGTATGTTTTTCTTTCCAAATGGTTTGGAGACCTGTGAGGTACTGGGAAAAGAAGATAGAATAATTTGTACATGAGTAGCTACTTCCCCTGGATGAAAGTGTTTGTAACAGCTTTAAAGCACAATCCTGCAAGGTGCTAAATGCTGAGGCCATAATCTGGCAAAGTACTTAAGCACATGTGGATAATTAAGCAAGTGATTAAAACTGCTGAGTCTCTTTGAAAAGCTGCAATCTACACCTCCAGGAGTGGCTTCATTTGACATCCTGTCAAAAATCTCATCCAGCTACAAAGAGAAAATAGTCAAGAGTTTGGAAATACATGCTCCAGTGCTTTGCAGAGCTGTGGCCCTAGTGTTTATCAAGTGTGGTTCCATGTTGTGCTAATCTTAAAAGCCAGCAGAATCATTTTCATATTCTTCAATTTAATTTCTTATTGTTCTAGGTGAGAAAAAAATCACATACATTGCTAGTGCTTTCAAAATAAATACTGGAGGGGGGACGACAAGACAAAAGAAGCTCTAAACCAGTTGTTGATACGGTAAAATAGTGAAACACCTGCAGAGAAAATGAACGTTCAATATAGCTACTCGTATCACAGGATAGCAATGATTAGCACACTCAAATTTCTGTCTGCCTTTCTGATGTGAGAGGTGAATGAGCATGTAGTTCAGCAGAATGGCAATTACTTCAACAGGCTGCCAAAGATAACAGACTCTATAGAAAAGCAAATAGACAGGTGTGGGCAGAACATGTATGCATGCTCTGGGGTGCACATACCAGAAGCATCCTCTGAAGGCTTGCTCTGTAACCATAGCCATGCTGCGTGATGTCTGTCCTCCTGACATGAACTTCTGCACGATACTTGGGCTTAACTTCTCTCTTCTTTTTTAAAGGAATTTCACTGGTAGCTCTTGTAATTCCTGTTGCATTTGGAATATATGTTAACCACAAGTGGCCTAGAAAAGCAAAAATCATACTTAAGGTAAGATATAGAAAGCTGAAGCATTAGTATTTATGGACAAATTATGGAATCAGTGGCAGGACATTGTTATTCATAGTATTAGTGTCTGACTTCATAAGAGCTGGGAAGTTTTCAGCAGAAAACTAATGAGATGCTGCATAAATGCATTGCTTTCCCCCTGCACAAACGTACATGAGTTGCATACATTAGTAGAAACCATGATTATCCAAAGAGCCTACTTTTGTCTTTGACTACAACTGTGATAGTAATTGAGTTCAGTTCATAATGTAAACTGAAATTGAAGGAAAATCATTCAGGTCAACTGGAAGCAGTTTTTCCTCTGCCAGAAAATAAAAAGTAAAACCATTCTGGATTTAAAAACCTATGACTTCCTAGTTTTAAACCAGTTTATTGATTTATGCAGGCAATTCTGAGTGTGAAGTCAATTTTTATTAAAAAAAATTTTGAAAATGTTCCAACTACTAAAAAATCTAACAAAACTGTTCAGAAAATTCAACTCTCTTCACAAGATAGTTTCAGATGCATCACAAATATGGGGTTTTTTTGCAAAAACTGTTCTCAAAAATAATAATGATTATGATAATAATAAATTGTATGTAATTATATAATAAAATTATTAAATTGTTATACATTTCTTATATGTCATCTATATATAAAGTAATATTATTTATTGGTTTTATATAAATTAGCTGCATTTAGTGTTAATAGCAAATTAATCATTCTGTTCAGTAGGTTTAGGCTGAATGTGACTGCCAGATGTTCTGACTACCCTTGTCATTTGCTAACCATTCTTACTTAACACATACATTTTCTAAATTTTCTTGAAGAAGATTACTCTGGAAACTTGTTATTCTACCTATACTTTGTTATCATGTGTCTTCTGTCAGCTCAGAAAACACAGAACACAAACAAGGTCCTTTTAAGTCAATTAATTTTCTTAAACTGTTAGGTTATTGTGCTGTATTTTTAAATGCGCTCATAGGACTTATGAACTTGGATACTATTGAGTGCTGGTTTCAAAACTGTTCTGTTCCTGTTTAAGGAAAAAGCATGGACTTAAACTCACATGAAAAGAAACTCTACTTGCCCTCTCAGAAAAACACTGTTTCATCCTCTTTCTTACCAAGTGGGTGAGCAACCCACAATAGGACAATGAAGCATCAAGTACAGATTGAGCCATAACTGTCAGATTAAGGTCTGTATAGTGAGAATTGGAGATAAGAGCACAAGGACAGCATGTCAGGTGAAAGAGAAGAGCTTGTCGTGGCCAGACCATGTTTCTTCTCCATAGGTGCTTGTGGTTAATAGCTCAGTCAAACGAAAGTACTTCTTTGCTCAGTGCTCTTAAAAAGACTTCAGCCGAAGACTCATAAAGCCAGTTTAATGGAAATACATGTTTAGCTGAGAAATGGATTATCCTAAGCTTAGCCCCAAAAGTCTGCCAGTAAGGTCCCTGGCAACATATGCTATAAGGGCACACGTTTCTCTTGGATATTAAGAGAGTGAGTTACCACTTTTTTTAGCAATCAGCAGTGAAGATCTTAGCACATTAAGCCACAGGAATAAGATTAACTCAGTGACTACGTCTATGTAGAAATGCTATACAAACCAACAGTATTCAAACACAAATTTTCAGCCACATTAAATATTTACCCCTCCACCTGGAAAAAAATTTGCTATCACTAACAGTCTAGCATCTAGTTAGCAAACATTATACCAAGCCGCAGAGCGTGAAGGCCTAAGAAGTGGGGAGGAAAATTACATTCTACTAGCTATTAGGTTGCTCAATTCCCAACAACTCTGGAGAAATTTTTCTAATGTGTGCACCATTCCTTGTTCACGTCACACCTATGAAATTATGTTTAATCTCCAGTTCTAAGTACAATTATAGCCAAGGCTTCAAGAGACTAGTTTTACAGGTACCTGTTATAGATACCTATTATAGCTGTGCCTTGATCTTTATCCATAGTAACACGCTGAAGTACGTTGCACACCTCTCTGGGAAAAATGGCAGCTATCATCTAATCTGTCTACCTACTGTGAATTACATTGCTATAAACTTTAGGGTTTACGTTTAATAAGAAGTTTCAGTGACTCAGAGACAATCACAGGCATGTTTGACACTGTGTTTGGTGCCATTGAATTTTGTTGGAGTCTCTTGTTCACACAGTCCTCCCTCTTTTCCCTGACAGGTAGGTTCCATTGTGGGAGCAATCCTCATCGTGCTCATTGCTGTGGTTGGGGGAATACTCTACAAAGGCTCCTGGATTATCACACCCAAATTATGGATCATTGGCACCATATTTCCAGCAGCTGGCTATTGTCTGGGATTCTTTCTGGCCCGCTTAGCTGGTCTGTCTTGGAACAGGTATGGAATTCTCCATGACAAAGACCTGTAGCCTTTTTCAACTGTGAAAAAAAATATTTTATTTAATGATTAATAACTGCTGAGAATCTTCCCTAAGCATTAGCTATGCTCAGCGTCACGCATTCTCCAAACCTCTTTCTGGGATAAAACTTTACTTTTAGTCAGCACATTTTTATATACAAATTCTGACTGTACTATTTTCTCCAGATGTTCATACTTCTCTTTGTGTGACCATGTGCTACATTTCAAATGAGTGAAACAGACTTGACTTATAAGTGGGCTGGGACTGCAGTAAAATTTATCATGAAGATGCAACAGCCTACAATTTAGAACATCATTACAAGAGAGGAAGATAGTGCCACATATGTGGCTTGAAGGTGGATCATGGTCCCTTGCAAATGTCTGTTCTGGTGGTAACAGCCATATGACTTGAGGAGTGTTTTGTTGACTGTGAGCTGAAAGATACCATTTTCTTAGTTATCTATTACTGTATGTTTCTTGCTTATCTAGTACTAAAAAGCGTAAGGCTGCTGTTTCACAACTGTCTTTGTATTATTCTCTTTAGATGTCGTACAGTGTCTCTGGAAACAGGCATGCAAAACACTCAGCTATGTTCAACTATAGTACAGCTCTCATTCACTCCTGCAGAACTTGAACTGATGTTTACTTTCCCACTCATCTACAGCATTTTCCAGCTCTTGTTTGCAGGACTAATTTTAGGAGGTAAAGTATAGATATTTTCTATGATAGAGTTGTAATTATCATAATTATAAGTCACATTTTTCATGGATATGGAGAAAACAAGAAGGGATAAACACAATCAAATGGAAAATGACCTAAATGATTACTGAACATTCCTAGTACCTAACTGGGAACATACAAGGCTCAGTTCAAAATTTGGAAGATACTTTTTCTACAGCACAAGTCAGGGGATCTCTATTACCTACAGCTGGGAACATGAAACTACATTGAGCACAGAATTGTTATTACCTTTGGCCAAGGAAGGTCAAATGCATCTTCTTCCACTGCTCCAGGGTGCCTGGGTGTACAGCTGCCCCGCAAGGCTGTCCCCACAAACTCCCCCTCCTACCAGATGTTGAGGCAACAGGCATTAGCTTCACAGCTAATGTGAAAAAATATCTTCTCTTAGAGGTAAAGGTTCCTTTTTCCCCCTGAATAAACCTCTCATGAGTTGCACTGCTGCTATTCCAACTGAACTACCGAGGGTCGGGACCTTGTCCCTGTTGCTCACACCCGAAATCAGCTGTGATTGTTGAGCTCCCAGTCCCAAACCAGCCATCTTACTCAACACCAGAGCACTGTCCCAAGGACACAGCCTGTGAGGTGCAGCCCTGATACCAACCTCTCTGTTGGGCAATGGCATGGGGACAGACCAACCACTTTGCCCCAGCCCCTGCTAAACAGCACTCACGTGGAAGTAAAGGTCAGTCCCACAGACCCAGCCAAGAGCCTAGGCTTCCCAAGGGAGACAGGCAATGCTTTTAAAAGTCACTGCACACAACAGGAACACAAAGCAGTCAAACACCAAATGAGGGATTTAAAATGTTTTCCTTGTTATTTTCTAAAAGTACTTTTCTAGTGATGACTGCTGTTGACATAAAATAATTAAACATATCTTTAAATAAACATTTTGTTTTAGCAATATAAGGAAGGAAAATATTGCATGGATACACATTACCAGAGTGTTTTTTTGAGGAAATTTTTGTAATTTCTTTATTTAATACTAAGTATATACCAATCCCCAGGCTACCGTATTTACAGAAGACATCAAATCAAAACAGAGACAGATATTGAGAAAACAGAGCAAAAAGAGGATTCAAAATCAACGTCATCATGTGCTAACGTAAATGGAGGATTTGTATCAAATGAAGAAAAATAGACAATTACCTCTGTTCCTACCAACTCAAAAGATATATGGTTTACTTAGAACTATTTTTTCACATGCCATTGCTTTATGGAAATATTTAACAAAAGGAGAAGTTCTGCTGAAATTGTACAGTAAGACCTTAAAATGATTAACTTATGAAAGATTTCTACTTTGATTTTTAACACGGTTTCTGCCACAATTGTTGAATCTGCCTTTGAAGGTAATTCCCTAAAAAAGATATTTAATGGGGCTTTTATGGCTTATTTAAAGAAAGGCAGAATAAAGGTGGGCTATTGCTAAAAAAACAAGTGGATATTTGCATTACCAACTCCAGCCATGATCCTGCAAATGCGTCCGCTAGTTTCAGCCCCCACAGCAAAAAGAAATATTGTAAAAGTGCCCTAAGCAGCAACAGGAGTTGATGTGGAAGATCTGATAAGGCTGGAGGAATTTCACTGGACATGAATCAACCATGAAGCTGGAATAAAGACATAAAGTTTCATTTAGGTCAGTTGGGGCAGACTAAAGTCATTACACTGTACTAATTGCTCAAAGCATTAATTTACACTAACGCTATCATTTTAACAAGTGAAAGGTACCTTACAACTATTTTTTTTCCCCAAAGTAATAGAAAGCAACAGCTTTGAATCTTCAGTCTGGGTCTTCTAGGTGCTGGAAACATGAACAGAGAGACAAAGCTGAGGGCATGAGCCTAGAGCAATTTTAGTATGAGAGCTGCATACAAATGAGCAGGCGAAGATTTTGGAAATGTAAGAAATTATCAACTTCTGCACTGAAAGGGAGGCATTTGAAAGCAGAACAAAATTGTCCCTAGTTTGCCCAGGACTGCTTTCACCACTGTTAACAGGAGACAATAATGCTTGTAGAGAGTTATACATTTTTGTTATTCTATGAACTCAATAAATTTGAACTTACCAGGTGTCTGCAACATGTAGACACTGATGTAGTTGATAACGTTAAGATTTTAACTATATGAACCACAGACAGAAATAATTGGATGTACATATACATTATTTGTCTCTGAAAATTCAAGAGTACATATGGAAAGCTGTCCTAAGCATGCGGAGAGAATGAGTTATAATTCTGAGAGAAACAGTACAGTAAAATTTTTGCAGCTGTAATTTTTTATGGATACATTCAGTAACATTAGTCCTGTAGTTTTTATGTAAAGAAAACATCCAGAGAACTTCAGATGAATGAGTGAGAGGTTGGCTGGCCAAAAAATTCAAGAATGAGCCAACTAGCAACACATGGAAACTATACACCTCTTTGTCATATACAAGTGGACCTTCCGAGGTGTTGTGAATTAAAGTGGCAGGTTTTTTACAAACACAACTGGAATGGTGGAATTTAAGTTCCCGACATGTAGCTTTCCACTGCTGCAGAAATGTGCCCAGTATTAAACAAAGAATAAATTATTTCTACCTACCATATGTGGGGGAAGGGGTCTCAAAATGTTCCTGAGTTCTGGGAGGCTTGAATATGCCTTGCATTTGGGGGGAGTTGAGAGTGGTTATAACCTTCAAGGAAGAGTTTAACACTTGGCAGGAGGTAACACATAATGAGGCACCCTATATTTTATAAAATGAAGATTAAACAGAAAAATATAGTGAAGTCTGTTATGGAAAAATCAGAAATGTGCAACAGCACATTCATAGAGAAAAGGATAAGTTGCTGTTTCTGACATCTGTAGTAAAAAGGCTATTGTCTTTATCCCGCATCCATTAAGAAATGGTCAGCAGAAGTTAGTTAGGATCATGACTTTCTTACACACCAAACTGC